AGATATACTTCATCTTAAAGGAAGGCATATTAGTCACCCCACTTTAACCTATTTTGTTTTCAAACATGAAGTTTAAAAAAAAAATCAGCTTTTGGAGGGGGGGGCAGAGCTCAAATAATGGGATACTCTGAGAACCAACCCCAATGGCAGGAATAAAACTACTGACATACAACCCAGCATCAATTTCCAACAGCAGAAAAAAGCCTTGGTTATTTTCAGTTATGATTAAAGTTACCAAATCAACAGCTGGGCATTGGTGGCGCACTCCTTTAATCCCAGCACTCAGGAGACAGAGGCAGGTGGATCTCTGTGAGTTCGAGGCCAGCCTGATCTACACAGCGGGTTCCAGGATAGGTTCCAAAACAATACAGGGAAACCCTGTCTCAGAAAAAAAAAAAAATTACCAAATCAAGTGGGGTATATAGTAGAACATCTGTAATCCCAGCAATTTAGGAGGTAGCAGCAGAAACATCAAGAATCTCAAGAAAACAAAAAATAACAGTAATTACAGAACCCCAACCTTTTACCACTGGTGTGCTTCGCATTTTACTTGCACCATCTTCTTTGAAGAGCTACCAGTGCAGTCCCTTCCCACCCTCAAAAGGGTCCTACTTTCATGGCAAGATACAGTTGAGAAAGTCTTGATGCTATGAAAACTTTTACTTCCTATTTAGTCAAGACAACAGTAAAGTAAAATAAGAAACCTTTCTCAATTATGCCCTCCCGAAAACAAGAAGTAAGCCCATCCAGTTTAGAGGGAGTATAACAATAAAATCAGAGGAAAATGAGGTCCTACGCATCCATGGTATACATCTCACCACCAAACTGGTTATAAATTTTCTGGAAAGGACTGCGTACAAGTGTATACATGGGCATGTATATGTCGTGACCCATGTATGAAAGTCAGAGGACAACTTGCAGGAGTCAGTTCTCTCTTTCCCATATACAGGACTGGGATCACACTCTCAGGTGTGATGGCAAATGTTTTTACATGCTAAGCTATCTCACCGAAATCTAGATTTCCCCCTTAAGTCCTCATCTAGAAAACAGCAGTAAATGTATCTTCTCTTCATATGCTGCCAAGATGGCTTTATAAAGGACTGCACACAATGAGGATTACCATTTAGCAGTAAAAGATGTTAGTGACAAATCATATTGACCACACGCTTTCTTTAAATACACTTCTCTACTGCACTTAAGGAGATGCATAGCTATTTGGAAGGCTGAGACAGGAGGTTCAATGGAGTCTAAGAGTTGAGGACAGGCCTAGACAACACAGTGAGACTATGCCTCTTGAAAAATTAACTTTTTGCTAGTGATCACAGAGCATGTCTATAATCCCAGCATCATCCAGGAGACTAAGGCAGAATTACAAGTTTGAGGCCAGCCTACGATATGTAAGTAATTTGCTGTTAGGTATGTGATGTATCAAAATAAGAAGGGAGGAAGGGAGGGAGGGAGGGAGGGAAGGAGGGAGGGAGGGAGGGAGAGAGGGAGGAAGGAAGGAAGGAAGGAAGGAAAGAAGTTCTTTTTTCTTATAAAATGGTTTAGGGCCATGCACCTCTATTCGATTTTCAAAAGACAAATTTAAAACTTTTTATAAAATTTTAGTGTGAGTGGACAGAGAGGAGACAGAGGTGATATGTATATACCATAGCACACTTAAAGGTCAGAGGACAACTTTACAGAGTTAGTTCTCTCCTTCTACCTACCTGAGTTCTAGGAATGGAACTCAGATTACCAGGCTTATATGGCAAGTACCTTTTTTTACCCTCTGAGCCATCTTGCTAGCCCTAACACCTCTTAAATGGTCTATTTGTTAGACACAAATTTTGTCATAAAGTTGCCCAAATCACTAAGTGTGGTGATGTATGCTTATAACAACACTAGTACTTGAAAGGCTGAGGCAAGAGGATCCGAAGTCCACAGCCAGTTTGGAGTCTAGCTTGGGGTACACGGCAAATCCCAATCCAGAATGAACCAATCAGCAATACTCTTCTTAAAAAAAAAAAAAGAAATTTTCATAAATGAAGGAACTGGCAAATTATATATGTTAAAGGGGGGATGAGAGCTGAAGGGATGGCTCAGCAGCAAAGAGCACTGGATGTTCTTCCAAAGGACCCAGGTTCAATTCCCAGCACTCACACACACACACACAGCAGCTCAAAACTGTCTGTAACTTCTGTTCCAGAACACACTCACACAGACATATATGCAGGCAAAACATCAATGTACATAAAACACAAATAAATAATTAACTTTTTAAAAGTCTACTACCTGCCTGAATATTTATTTCTCCTACACTGTCCCAACATGAATCCCTAGTGTTAAAAAGTATTTGGACATATTAAGAGAAAGTTTCCAAAGCACACAACCAACTAACTATATATTAGTAACACAAAAAAACATCCCCCTTCTTACAAAGTGCTTCACAACTCAACACAGAACAAGAAAACAGTAACATGCCAGCATCTGATATCATCTGAATCTATGCCACTCCAGAACTGCCTAGATGGTGAGGTGAAAAGTAGTTTATCCTCCCTCTTGCTACCCTCCTCTCTAGGCACGTTCCTTCTTCCTCTACATGCTCTCCCCATCTTAAGTGACAAAGATGTTCATCACTCAAATGCTGCTTGGCCCCTAGTGGTTTATGCATACATGGACGCTCCCTTACTCTATAAGCTGGGTAGGCTCAATATCAATCGTACTCTCCAGCCACTACCTGCCCTAGAAATACACCTAAAATGTACTTGATAGCTTCATAAAACAGCCCCCAAAGATGTGGTCTGTATCACAATAGTTCAAGTAGCTGCTGCTTCTCAGGGTTTAGGGCTCTGTTCCCTCTCCTCCTTTCATCACCTCCTCAAATTTAATCTTCTGCTCAGAACACACACCTTGCCCACCCTGGCCCAATTTTCTCTTGCAGACCTGAGATAGAACCTCTCACTAAAACAATATTGAATTTCTCAATGTTATCCTTCCATCTCTATCCTTTAAATATATTTAACATAAATAATTCAGCCATTTGTTTAATTTACATTTTTAAGATCTCTCTATCTTGTTACTGGATCTTCAGACTAATAGTTACTCTTGACAAGGTTTCACCTTTTTAATGTGTTCAGTAATGGCCCCTTCCTCAGCAGCCCACCCTAATATACCCAATTTCATGTCACCAAAGACTGGACTCATCTTATTCTTTTGATCATTTAAGTCACAGTAATTAAAAACTACTACTTTTTGTTTCATACACTTGGAAACGTTAAAGTGCTCTTGTGCTTTTTTCCTAAGTAAAAATTGGAAAGGAAAGGGGGCAAAGTGGTTAATTTCAGAAAATCCTTTCTGATAAGTTCTACTCTGATTAGCAGCACAGTAAGTAAATATCTGACCACCCAATAACAGAAGAGACATCAAAAAAAGCCATTTTTTGGGTTCCATCTTGTAAATAGATGTGCACAATACTTTAGGTCTTTTTATTGTCCTATTATTAACTTGCCCCTAAGAAAAAAAAATCTACAATAACCTCACTCCGTAACAGCAAAGCTGAAAAGCCTCCAAGTTACCAATGTCAGAAGACAAGCTTCAGACTAAACCTGACTGGTATGATCTACATTTCCCATGATTACAGGCTCAAACATGGCAAGATTAGTAAATTGAGGGAGTTCTATTCTACAAAAAGGCATTTAAACCATTGTTTCCGCATTTCTCACATCAGTAAGTTTTTTTTTTATGAAAATAAATGTCAAACTGAACTTGTCATTTAAAAAGAAAAGTACCATTAGTGATTTTTCTGTAATAATCATTTATTCCTTCCCACTGCTGAACAAATTTTAAGTCAACAAAAATCTCCTGATAAGATGGGGGACAGAGAACACTCACCTCTCATTTCTACATTAACTAATATCACCCATCTCTCCTTTCACGACTGGATTCCAGGAACCGTATTCAAATTGAAGCCACAAAATCTAAGTTTTGTTTCAACAGCAGAAATATTTTTTTAATACAATTAGGTAAAGTCACAGAAAGACTCCCACAACTTGAACAGCTGTGTCTAGCGCCAATCTGCAGGCAGCAATGTAATTTGATTTGGACCCATTCATCAGAAACTCATTTGCAGATGCCGTTACTACAAGAACATACTGGAGAAACGCTAGCTGCGGTGAGCCGGCATTGTTCGCAGCAGCGCACAAGTTTTTATTGCAAAGGAGAGCTTAAAAGAGAAAATACAAATTGGTAATGTTGCCATAGAGCTGTCCAGAAGAAGTCTGAATTACCGAATGAACAGAAAACTAGGCATATGACATGATCGTGATCACCTAAGAAAGTTTACAGGGAAGCTATTTAGTTAGCCGGGGGTCGAGATGGTGGGGGGGGGGGGCTTAGGAGTATCTTGTTTTTTTTTTTCTGAAAAACTGAAAACCCTACAGTCCTTAATTTTTTAATTTTACATTTCCACTGTAAAACCAGCCCAAACTCAAAGGGAGACTGGAGTCCAAGTGGACTTTAAAAGCCTGCTAGCTTCTTTTTAAGGTTGCATATGTAAATAGACACCACAGCAACTTTGATGACATCTTGCAAATGAAGTTTGGGGTTTTGAAAAAAAAATTACTAGGTGATCAAAAATAAAAAAGAAAGAAAGAAAGGATCAAGAGTTTCAAAATAACCACCAAACGTTTTCCAAAGCAACACATTCCAAGAAACTTCTCAGTCTCAACTCATAAGCTGGTGGCAGCTGTGCCCGCGACTGCAGCGGCTTGAGTGGAGGTCTGATCCCCAAAGCCCTCACTACCTCCCATTCGCATTCTCTCCCTCCAAGCCTCCAAGGTTCCCTCCGCTGTCATCCCGGCCGGCCACGCGTGCGGACACTCGGCCGCGCCCCCGCTTCACTTTTCCTCCCCAGCCGGGAAGCGCAGCCCAGGGCCCGGGACAGAGCCTCCCGCCACTGCGACCCCCAGCTCCCTCCCCGCCACGGACGCTGACAGCGCGCCTGGCCCTAGCCTCACCTGTGCTGTCATTCGCGGAGAAGCCGGGGGAGCTGAGTTTGGCTCGTTTGGGGTTGGGCGGTCCGTCCAGCAAGTTCTCGGCCATCTTCACCTGCTCGCGGAAACAGCCCTGAGCGCGGGCGGCGCGACGCGGCCCGGACGGGGGTCGAGCCGGCGGCAGCGAGCAGACGAGCCAGCGAGGAGCGAGCGCAGGAGCGCGGGCCGGGCCGCGGAGGGCGCAGGCCGGGTGGGGGAGGCGGCGGCCAAATCTCAGCCTCAGCAACAGCGCCCCGCAGCGCTCACCGCCCGCCCCCGGCCGCCGCCGCCGCCGGCCGCGGCCCCCTCATCCCCTGCCCGCCTCCCGAGCGCGACACTCCGCGGCCCGGGCACCCCAGCGGCCCGGCCGCCTCCGCGGGCCCGGCTGGCAGCGACGGCGCCCGGCCCCGCGGCTCAGGCGGCGCCCGGGAACATGGTGGTGCCGCCGCCGCCTCGCCGCCCCCCCCTCGCGCGCCCCACTTAATGAATTCGCCCGCGGCCGGACGACCGGGGGACTTCGGGCTCCGCCGCCCGCCTGCGGCCCGCCGCCGCCGTGAGGAAAAACAATGCGCCGAGCGGAGCCGCCGCCGCGCCGCGGCCCCCCCACCCCGTGCCGCCGCCGCCGCGGCCGCCGCGGCCGCCGCCGCCGGGCTCTGGGAGGCCGAGCCGAGAGGCGAGCGGGGCCGCCGGGGCGGGAGCCGAGGGCCGGGCGGAGCGGGCCGGCCAGGCGGAGCGGGGTGCGCGGGCGGTTGTGGGGCCCGGGACCGGCGGGGCCGAGTAGATCGCGCTCGAAGCCCCGGTCGGGTCCGCGACAAGATGGCGGCTGTTGATTCCTCAATTAAAAAAAAAAGAAAGTTTTTTTTCTTCTCTTTCCAGAGCCTGAACGGGGAGGGGGAGGGGGCGGGGCACGCCTGTACGTCACCCCCCCGAGGCGTCACCACGCACGGCCCCCGCCCCGCCCCCTCCACCTGCGCGGACCGCGACGGAAAGAGCCGAGCGCGCTCGGGAGGAAGGGTCGAAGGCGCGGCAGCAGTGCGTGAGGCGGAGGGCTGCGGCGCTGGGCCGGGCCTGCGGGACGTGGGGGGCGCAGAGCAGACGGCCACTTTTGTTCTGACGGCGTCAGAGGCGCGGCACGCGAGGGGAGGGCGCCCTGGGCTCGAGTCTGGGGCCCCAGGCGCGGAGTCGGCGCTGGTCGGAGCCCAGCCCGTCCGGTCCCGCCCAGGCAGCCCTACCTCTTTGCAGCTGGCTGCTCGCCTCCCTGCTTGCGAGCCTCCCTGGTGACATCGGACTAGGAAGACGCCAGCGCAGTCCGCGCCTCTTCCCCTCAGCCTATGGTAGTGATGGCGAAGGGGTGTCTGGAGGTTACAGACTGTCCCCGGGTCTGTTCCAGAGTGCGTGTAGATAGGGAAACTGAGGCAGGAAGGGGCAAAGCAACTTTTCCCAAGATCACCGAGTGAAAAAATGACAGATGGAGATTCGAGCCCTTGTTCTCAAATGTAGCAAGGGCGTCGAGAGTCTCCTGATCTCCCATTCCCAAACTCAACATGATGGGGCCAGGTCCAAAGCTGTCACCTGAAGGAAGAGACTGGGAGCACTGTCTGCTGGAGCTGAGCAGAGCCCTAGCACCAAGACCAACGACTTCATTGTCCTGGGGGTTTGCTCCACCTTGGACAACCACCTCTGGCTCCGATAGGTGCCCAGAAGAACGTAGGATCGCAAAGAGGTCTTACCCGGGCTACTGTCTCAACACCTCAAAAACTAAAGTTTTCCCATCTCTGTTAACCATCTCTCAAAAGGAAGTCCTTATCTTCAAGGGATCACCAGCACCCATCTCCTAAACCAAAAACCTGTGAGTCAAGCGGGCTCCTCCCTCCCCACCCGCCCACACTGCAGCCAGTCTCCCCAGGTCTTTACCTGAAGAATGGGCTCCTCCTCCCCACACTGCTGCCACCCTGGTGTGTTGTCCATCATGGACCCATCCTGTGACCAAGGCAACTTTTCACAAAAGCGGTTCTTGTGCTTCACGTTCTTCCCCATGTAGCACCAAAATTACCTTTCTGCAAAAAAAAAGAGGAAGTCTATTTGAAACAAATTAGCTCCTCCTATAGAAAGAAAAGGATAAACACTAAAAATATGTATAAAATAAACATGATGTATGTCTACACATACATATATATACATATATATATATATATATAAGTGATTGGGCCACAATTGGGTGGTGCACATTTTTCTTAAACTGTTCAAAACCCATGCTGCCCACTCCTGTTTCATCTGTTCCATCCTTCCATCACTCTGTCCCCATCAGCATCCCACACCCACTCATCCACTAGGCAGTTCTCATCATGAGATATTCTATAGTTTTGTCAATGCTGTTCACAGTGCTGACAAGACCTGTCACTAGCACAATAATTCATCTCCAAAACCCAGTCCAGCCTCACTTGCTCCAGAAAGCCCTTCTATCCCACTTTAGGGCACTGGAGATCACTTCTGAACAAAATCAGAGGCCATAATATTAATACACCATTTGGTGCTTTTTGTCCAATTAATTTGTGCATTTTATTTTTTCATCAAATATTTCTTGAAACTCTAAGTATTGCCACTGTACTAATCCCCTGGCAAAACCATATAGAAGTCTCTGTGTTCTCTATTTGAGGAGTTTAAGAAACAAGTATGGGAATCATAACCAGAATATTCTAAAGTCCATCTTCACAGGAGTGGAGGAAGTGTGTGGAACCACAGAGGGCCAGGGGGCCAGAATCATTCTTCATCTGAAGATCCCTGAGTGTTCGCCAGTCTCACCATGAAGTGTTGTATTCACTGAGGGCAGGGGCTGTGTCTCAGTCATGGCTATGGTTTCAACTAAGAAGGTTTGTAGCTGGGTAGATGGTGTCATATGCCTAAAGTCCCAGCACTTGAGAGGCAGATGGATCTCTGTGAGTTGGAGCCCAGCCTAGTCTACAAAGTGAGTTCCAGGACAGCCAGGATCACACAGAAAAACCCTGTCTCCAAAAACCAACCCCCACTGCAAAAATAAAAAATAAAAAAGTAGGTTTGTACATTTTATGATTGAATGAGTGGGCCACTACCCATAGCATGAACATAGTGTCTAGCCATCTAGAAAATCCAAGGCCTTCCCCCAAATACTTTGACTACAAGTGTGTCCTTGTAGACCTTGAGTCCTTGACCTTGAGTCATTCCCCTGCATGTGGGCAGCTTTGGTGTTGGGTCATATTCCAGTTTACAAAGAATTGAGAAACTCAGTCCCCACAATTTGGAATAAGCATGGCAGGGCAGAACCTGGATCACAGTTCTTAGACACAAGCCCCTCACTCCTCCTTTGTGCCCAACCCTAAAACACCTGCTCTTCAAAAACATTTTTCTACTCATTCTCACCTTCATCACTTTGACCAGTTCCTTTGGTCCTTACTGATACCTGGTTTTCCTTTCTATTTCTCCCTCTGTCTGAGTTTCCTCAAAGAACACTAGATGGGGGACAGATGGGAGAACAAGTAACAGGACTTTGCCTGCCTACTTTTAGCTGGACATCACTGTCAACTTCAGAATGCCTTGAGTATAGCAGACCACTGCCACACCACCACTTACCACAGTCCAAAAGATAAGGAAACAAGACCAGAAGGGGGAAAGCCACCAACAGGCTGCCTCCTCTTCTCACAAACCTCATCCTCTGTAGTGACAGAAACCACATTCAGTGATGGCACAATCCCTGCTTACAGATGGCTCAGTCTGGGAGCACAGAAGAGTAAAAAGATGTGGAGTAAATCAGAACAATTTCCTGGAAAAGTTCATCTGCCTTTATCCACTGATGAGCGTGTAAACTTGTTTGGCCAAACAGTGTAATAGTATTTGACCATGGAAAGGAATGATATATTGGCATTGATACTATATGAAGGAACCTGAAATCATGCTCAGAGAAAGAAGCCAGACAAAAAAGCCATATTGTATGAGTTCATTTACATATGTGTGTGCCTGTCCAGAATGAGCAAATCAATAAATAGGTTAGTGGTACCCAGGGGCTGTATGGGGTGGCACATAACTATAGGAGATGGGACACCTCTTGGTGATCAATATGGCAGTTGTGATTCAAGTCTGTAAAAATACTAAAAAATATTGACATCTGTACATTTTGTTTTGTTTTGAGACAGGTTCTCTTGTAGGTAGGTAGCCCAGGTTGGCATAGATCTCATTGTGTAGTCAGGTTGATTCCAAATTCACTGTAATCCTCCTGCAGAAGCCTCTAGAGTTCTAGGATTATAGGCATATACCACCATAGCTGGCTGATATCTACACTTTTGTTATTAATTGTTCTGTTTCATTTTTGAGACAGGATCTCACTAAATAGCCATCACTGGCCTGGAACTCACTATGACTCACTATGTAGACCAAGCAGAGCTTGAACTCATGAAGATCTGATCTGCCTGCCTTAGCCTCCCGAGTGCTGGGATCAAAAGCATGCACCAGCCGGGCTTTGGTGGCACACACCTTTGATCCCAGCACTCGGGAGGCAGAGGCAGGTGGATCTCTGTGAGTTCAAGACCAGCCTGGTCTACAGAGTGAGTGAGGTTCCAGGACAGGCTCCAAAGAAATACAGAGAAACCCTGTCTCAAATCCAAACACAGAAAAAAAAAAGCGTGTCCAGCAGATAATTATACTTAAAAAATAAAATTATATTTTATTATGTGTGGGGTAAATATGCATGTGCAATGGTGTTGTGTCAAGGTCAAAGGATAATGTTCTGGAGTTAGATCTCTCTTACTACCATGTGGATCCCAGGGATCAAGCTGAGGTCATCAAGCTTGGCAGTGTGCACCTTTACCCATAGATCCATTTCATATCTACACTTTTAATGGGTGTGTATTTTAATAAAGTTTCTTTTTTAAAAAGAAAATCTACTAGGAAAGAATGAAATGAGAAATGAGGCAAGGCATTGAGAATAGCCAGCCAGATGCAAGTGGGAAAGTGGCAAGATATAACTGGTGGTGGGAGGGGATTGCAGGAGAACATGTCCCAAATCTGGACTAGGCTAGGAGTCTGCTACTTTAAGCACCAGCAGGAAGGATGGGGTTAGGGTTGAGGTACAGATCTTTCAAAGGACGTAAGAACCTTAGAAAATGTTTAGGACATGAGATTTTGTATAGTTTGTTCTTTATTCTGCCTGTCAAGACCTAGGTTAAATGAGAGCATCAGATTTGGGC